CCTTATACTATACATATACACGCAAATGTTGTTTAATTTCGATGCTCAGTTCATCTTTTTTCCATCAGCTTTTTAACAGTGCCCATGCTTTAAAATTCAAACCGGTTTTTGTGAAAATTTAAAATTTTAAAAAATTTCAGGTCACAAAAATTTGTCTCTAAGAAATTGAGTTTAACTTTTTTTTATCCTGAAGCTCAATGAATACGAGATAAAGAACACACGCACAAACTCTGACACACACACAGACAAACACATACACACAAACACACAGTGACAAACACATACACACACAAACACGCACAGACAAAAACAGACACACACACAGACACATTCAAAAAGACTTTTAAGAAAAAAGTGAACTCGCTTTTCAGAGATTGATTGTTGAGTTCAATTGAAGAGAATTTACATTGCAAACCGCACAACGAATCCATTTTGCATTCATTCATTCATTCACTCACTCATTCACTCATTCACTCATTCATTCATTCACTCACTCATTCATACATTTTTTTCTAATCGTTCAGCATTTCATGCATTTCTTTATCTTTCACTTTATTAATCCACCCACCAATCCATCCATATACATATTCATCCATCTGTATTACATCCGTTCATATATTTGTCAATTAATTTATGTATCTGTCCACCCAACCAACTATCCATCCATTCATTTATACGCCCATCCATCTATTCAGCTCTCCATCCATCCATCCCTCCATCCCTCCATCCATCCATCCATCCATCCATCCATCCATCCATCCATCCATCCATCCATCCATCCATCCATCCATTATTCCATACATAAGTCAAACGTCACGTTTGTTAGCTGAAATTTTAATGAGTCAACCGTGACGAAGATGAAGAAGAAGATGATGAAGAAGATGATGGTGAAGATGATGATGATGATGAAGATGATGGTGAAGATGATGATGAAGAAGAAAAAAATGATGATGATGAAGAAGAAGATGATGAAGAAGAAGATAACGATGATAATGATAAAGAAGAAGATGATGATGAAAAAGAAGAAGAAGATGATGATGAAAAAGAAGAAGAAGATGATGATGACGACGACGACTGACATAACAATGTTGATGATGTTTATTATCAAACACGTAACGATTCTATCAATAAATAGAACAGTGATTAAAAACTTGATGATGATGATGACGATGGTGATGAAGATGATGATGACGACGACGACTATGATGATGATGATGACGGTAGAGATGCCATCACAATCATCATCTTCGTCACAATGATAATAGCAATAGAGAAAAGGTAATATTAATGAATTATAACAGAAACAATTCCCTGAAATTTTCGCGTCCTTAAATTTAAACCACAAACCTACAATTATGAACCATCAATTTATAAAATCATTGGGTTGAAATCTCTAAGTGTACTTGTGTGTGTGTCTGTGTGTGTGTGTGTGTGTGAGTGTGTGTGTGTGTGGTGTGTTTGTGTGTAGATAAAAAAAGAAAAAAATACAAAACGAAAACAAACCCACAATACATATGTTTGTAGTATTTATAATGTATATTTACACTTACTTGTTTGTGATTCTGTTTTTTTGGTTTCACAATTTTGGTAAAGAAAGTTGTGGTGTCAGTTTTTCACGGCTCCATTCATGTCAAGTAGAACCATGGATATGTATAACACACACACACACACACACACACACACACACACACACACACACACACACACACACACACACACAATCATGGATTTATACTATCATTATATCTATAAGTAGAATAGAACATCCATATCTATTTGTCCATCTGAAGAGTAATGATTTGAATTTTTGCCTGACGGACTTGCAATCATTTTCATGGTACGATATGTCGCTTTCTGGCTTTCCCTTTAAGTGAAATGGTTAACAAGTTTAAGGTCTGATTTTGTGTTTTTTTTTTGGAAGTAGTAGTAAGAAAATTAAATTTCAAAAAGTATAATAAAATAAAATGAATTTTAAAAAATAAATTATGAAGACAAAAAAAAACAGATCAGAAATTTGTCTTAAATTTTTGGCGCTTCACATTACCCCATCGCAACATCGCTAAGTTGATAATTTTGAAAAAAAATGGTTTAGTTCTAAATAAAGATAGGTGGATGAAAAATATTTTAAAATTCAGAAACTCACACTCCCCATTAATTTGCGAAGCATTTTTTTGTAAGAAAAAACATCCAATTAAATAGAAGCAGAGGAAAGAAAGGCATTTACGAAACGAGAAAAAAGATTTAGAGGTCAATTTAAAAAAAAGAATTTAAATAAGTTGCCTATGAAATATATACGACATTAATCATTTGGACTGCAGTTTTAATTAAAATGACTTTGTCGGATCACATTTTAACGTGAAAATGTGAGGCTGTTTATAACGAACTCTACTCCATTTATAACGTCACAGCATCGTTTTTAACGAACAGTGCACCATTTATAGCGTTACATTATAGTTTATAATCTACATAACATCGTTTATAACGAACGTAACATCTAGAAATCAATTTAACATATACGCGAAATTCGTTATAACAGCTGTTGCAGCCTTGTTTAACATCGTCCACAAATTCCACATAAAATGATTCATCCAATAATAAGATGAAAAATAGGCAAAATCAAATTAATTACTCAAAAAAAAAATCATAATTTAACTTATGACATTTTAAACCGTTATCGTTTATAACGAACATAACAACAT